TAAAGCAGTTCTTAAAATCTTCTAATTAAGAATTTTGGCAAAGCAGTTCTGATTAAAGGCATAATTTAGAAAACTTCTCTGAATAGGTCGAAGCATAGAACAATATGATAAGCTTTATGTTATATCTGCTGTTACGGAACCATATCTACAGTACTTTTTTCAATCTCAACCGTTTTGAAATAATGAAAGATAAAGAACCCTATGAAAATTTGATTTGCATGAAATCGTTCCAAAGATTTTATTTTCGTTTTTATTTTAGAAAACAATTATAAATTAAATTTGTACTATTTGTTGTTATCCTTTTATTTTACCAAATAAATAATACTCAGTTCTCTAAAAAGCATTTACTGTGTCCAATTTGGTCTGTAATCCAGTCTAAAGTCATATTTAATTCCTTTAATAATACTATAATTTTTGAAACTCTCTTAATAACAAAACATAACTGACGTAGGGTTCAAAGCCAGCACCTTCAGTCTCCAGAAAGTATCAGTATTAGTGACACGGCGTCTTCTTTTCCGCATGACAAAAGCTTCACGACAGGTGCAGAACTCTGTTTTCAGTGCGATAAACATCTTATAGCAATGACAAAAGAATAGCTACCGGAATCGGAGCAGAAATGGTATATTGTTATTAAAACAGAATTTAATTTGCACAATCGCTCATTTTCGAAGAATTTTTATACATTCGTTATATCGGTTTATAAAGAGCCTCAGAATAGAAAATTTCATGAAATAGTTGCAATTAGTAATATTCCGAAGATAACACAAACACTTATCAGTGATTAAGAGGTTAAGATCGCTGGACACTAGTAATTCGTACTGGTATCGAATCCCAGTGACTGAAGAGACTGATTGCATGTGGTATACGTGACTTTCTTCATATATAACGCAAACACAACAATAGGAAGCGGGATAACTAACTTCTCACGTCTATCACATCGATTATTGTGGCGCTCGATATGGGGTTGATAACTTATCACTTTAATTTGACTGACTGAGTGTCAACTTATCTTCACACCGACTCGCCCTTTAAGTGAGAGAGGGAATAAGGCTTTCTTTCCATGTTTGCTTTTATGGTGCACTGATAATGATCTATCCACCCATTCAGTAAGCTGAAGATCCATTTTTGATTCCCGGTGAGAGAAGAGCCAATTTTGTTTTTATATATCCCCTTGTTTACTGCCTACAGTGTTAATTTTAAGTTGCTAATTTGTTAAGTTCCGTTCTTTAACTATCTTAACCTGATTTCTACTGTGATTTTCAGGCGACTTATCGCCCATTCCATGCAAACAATTGCAGACACAGAAGAAGGTTTAAACAAAAAGTTTTATTTAAATTTTACTTCAATAATGTACGACTCGTGTCTACAAGTACGACTCGTGTCTACAAGTACGACTCGTGTCTACAAATCAATCTCCACTGCTTGCGAGATTTCAGGATACATAAAAAGGATTATAAGGATAAAAACGAAATTTAAAAATTAATTAACTCTGGAGCTTTACAAATACACAGCTTAACAAGAATCGATTGAATTCTAATTAACTGAGTGAGCAACTCGGATGGCGGAAAGCTGGTGCCAATAATGTCTTTCTCATAACTGGGCAAGAAACAATACAACAGTCAACGTTGCTGCCAAGCCTTCTCACTTACCTGAAGGATGCTGCTCGTAAAACACTTATCTCATTTATATCCTGGCAACAAAGGAAAAGCAATAATACAGAATGTCACATCAAGACTGCCTAAAATTTCCACAGGCATATTTCTCGCTTGGAATATGTAAAAACTGCCCAAAGAACTGTAAGATCCATAGTTTTCGAGATAAATGCGAAAGAAACATAGGATGTTAAATCCGTCACATCGGCTAAGATACCAGCATGATGGAGCTCCAGCGCATTTCAGCACTTTTGAACGTGGTTGGCTGGATATTGAATACCCAGATCGCTGGGTTGGACGTGGGTGTCTGGTGTCATGGACCTGAAGATCGCCAAATCTGACACCTTTAGATTTCTTCCCATGGGGCCATCTGAAGGAATTGGTCTAGTAAAACCTAGTTGCTGCAGAAAGTGACTGAGTTACTCGTCTTCATGCTGACATACTTTGTAACTGTTTGCTGCCGAAGAAATAGTGTTACATTCTCATAGTAAAAGGGACTGGATATGTGTTAAATTTGAGTAACCCATATTCACTTTATTCTTCCAGAAGCAGATGTTCTGTTAAAACTATACTTTTGTTTTCAACAGTACATAAAGCAAAAAATTTTAACAAAATCTCTAAAATTATTATTACCTCTGGAATCAAAGCTAGAATATATCATTTAGTCCTTTAGAGACACTTAGCTTGCTAAATTTATTGTAGTAAATGCTTAGTTTACTTGGTAGAACAGACGACAATAACGATCCTTTAGCTCTTCTCGATTAGAGAGACCTCTTTTAAAAAATTCTTAGCAGGACACTGTAAATACCTGTCCATTACTACTATTTTATCTAGTTCTTATTTTACGACAAGTGACTTTCATGTATATAGCGAAATCGGTACTAAAATAGCGAACTCATATTATAAATTGAAACTGTAATCATATGAGTGTTTTATTAAAAAATTGCGGAAATGAACTTACCGAAGACAAATCGCCTAATTAGAAAGTCTAATCACCTGAATAAGTAAGAAAAATGTCATATATTTTAATATAGAAATTTCAGCTTACCGTTCCTTATCCGAAAGTCCTTAAGAATTTTTTTAAACTGAAAAACAAATAAAAACTCTCTGCCCACCACACACGTAAAAAATGAGACTTATAGACGTAAATAAAAACAACCAAATATACAAAAAAAAAATATTTCAGTGAGAAAGAAAGATACAAGAAGATGGAAGGGATAAATTTAAGGTATTTACAAAATAAAGGAGAAATAAAATTTTTCTGAACAAAAGTATGAAGAGGTGGGGGAAATTTTAAGTTCAGAGATTTGAACTGCAAAATTAGCTCATTTCTATCTTACATTACTTACGCACAATGCTTACAATATTTTCAGGGTGTATATAATTTAGGAGAAAGAAAGTATGATGTAAAATCAAAAAAGATGTTAACTTTAATGAGGAATCTTATTTTCTTGTGCGCAAAACGAGGTAAAATTTTTCAGATGAGAAATAAATAGGAGATCAAATAGCACAAATTTCTAATATAAAAAGGATTATCAAATAATGATTAGATATATCCAAAAACTTAACGCTGCAGTGAATTATCCTTTAAATTAGTAAATTTTAAACTATTTCTTCATAATTAAAATAAAGTAATTTAATTAGTAAATTTCAAACTATAATATAATATAGTAATGAAATTAGTAAAATTTCAAGTTTTTCAAACTATACTATAATATAGTAATGAAATTAGTAAATTTCAAACTATTTCTTGTTGTCAAGTTGTCATCTGATTCTTTATGAAGCTTTATCTTCCTGGATGGATTATAATACTTTTCTTTCCTTCCTTTTCATCCTTTTCTATAATACTTTTCTTCCTTTTCCTTCCATTTGTTCTAAGATTTTATAAGGAACCATTTTGGAACTAATTCAAAGAATTGTCTTTGCGTACGATAATAGTACATATTCATCAGCAAATTAGAAGCTAATTTAGGAGCGTATAAACCAAAAGTGAGGTCTTAAATTATGTACGCTTGGTGAAACTTTCCGTATATAGCTAAGCAAAGAATACTTTATAAAGATCAAAGACAAATTTATAAAAGTGAATTTCAGGATCACTGATCGTTCAAAAAATGTCGAACCGCTATTCGGTTTCGTCCACGCTATGTTGAGGTAAGTCCACAAGGAGGAGCTATTATTCCTAAACATCATATCTGAATTTTCTTTTCTCTCCTATGAAATTTCATGACGACATCTATAGACACTTTCAGCAGTTTGAAACTAAAAGTAGAATTTCAAGTCGACGAATTAAAAAAAATTAACAGATGGTAAGAAAATATAAATTTATATTTTTATTTTAATATTACAAATAAGACATAGTCAAATGCCATGCAAATGGGAAAATCTTCCGGCCGGCAAGTCTTAGAATTCGTGAGGAGAAGAAGTGGAGAAAGTATTTTCAAGTCCAGGGTACTTCCGATTTTAGATAAACACTATAAATGTGCAAACAGAGGAATTTACAAATAACAAAGTTTTTATTATCCCAAAGAGTGTTAACCCAAAAGGGCTATTAATTTCGTTTTGGGCTTTTGCGTTGAAAACTTTAAATGCCTGTTTCACTTTTCAAATCGTTCCCACCAAATATTATCGCTCTGTGTTATATTTAAAGAAATAAAATAATGAAGAATCCGCATAAATATATATATGTTTCTCGCATTGTGGTAACAGAACGGTACCTAGAGCCATCCAATTTTGAATAACATAATCCTCCACCGAATATGGGCCTTTGGAAGCCCAAATTTGAAATTTTGAATTTGTTTTATTATAGATTTCATATTTTGTAACACTTTAGCGAATTTTTGATTAAATAAATAAAAATAAAAACAAAAAATAAACCTTTTTATCTCCAGTGCGCGAAACTGTGTATCGGAAATTCTAAAGATAAGCTCATTTTAAAATTATTTTGCGATATTACTGTTGAATTAAATTTTATGATCGAAGAACATTATATTTAATAAATTAGGTAACACACAAAACGTTAAAAAAAAAAAAAAAAAAAAAAAAAAAAAAAAAAACGCCCGTTTGGGGGTAATGTAAAATCTGAAAGCCCTTCAGATTTTTCTTTTTTTTAGTTAATCTTATTTTTAAGCAAATGTTTTCAGCAAATGATCTCCAGTAATAGTTGCTGACTCATTTTAGGTTAACGCTAGCTATAGCCCATACGTAAATAACTGGTATTAATGCGATATCTTAGCTTCAAAGTAGAGAAACTGAAAAAAAAAAAAAAAAAATCCAGATAATTCGAACTTTCTTTACTATTTTGTCTCCAGAAGCATTTTACATTATTTTTACTTTCTTCTTCTATCACAGAAATGTCAGTGAAGATGGGATTGCTTTTCTTGATGATGTTCCTAACAACATCGTGTGTCTTCGCTGAACAAACATCAGCTTCTGAAAGCTCTGAAGAATCTCATTTCCCAAATTCAGAAGAGACTAATGAGTTCGACATTCCACATCGCTTCTATAGCGGCCCTAATAGAATTATTGATCCTTTGGGTAAAAGGGCACTTAGTTTCTTCGCGCATTGGAAACCTTACTACAATGGAGTACCAGCGGTCAACACTAGGTCAGATATTGTAACGGCTGTTACCAGGGGAGGACACACAAGGCCATTAGGTCAGCCTCTGAGATGGGGATGAACTATGCAAATGTTCCATTCCAAGTTTGAAATTTTTTGTTGAGTTTGAGATGATTTCATGTTACTAAAAAACTGCTGCAGAAAGGTGAAAATATTAAGAAAACATGAAGCCAAAATTCCTGAAAATGTTACAAAAATTTAGAATTTCTCCTATGCTTTGAATTTCTGCTATGCTTTACTACCTGAAGTTTTCATTTATTATCAACATCTTTGTTTCTTTATCTGATATATTTGATAACGCTTAAATTTACCAACAGAATATTTCATGTTAGTAGTAAGAAAGAAATGAAAAAATTGGATATAGTTGAATATAGTTGAAGGTATCCAATTTACATGAGTTCTTATTCATGAAATAAAGTTCTAAAGTTTTCATTCAATATTTCATGTAATAAAATAGCACTCCATTTTTATATACAGTTTTATGTAAATAATGGCATTATGAAAGTAAAATGCTGTGCATGAAACACATTTTTTTATTAAAAATGCACATTATTTATAAATCTTTGATTAATTGTGAATTAAAGACTTTTTTCATTTAATGTTTCCAAAATGGCTGTAGAAATTATCTGAACAACTTCATTTATATTGCGAGGATTTACAGTAAATAAATATTATTCGTGTCCTTCAAGAAATACAATAAATGCAAGTAAGCCATAAAAAGGAGTAAAGTGAAATACTAGTTTTTGTTGAGTTTTTTATTTAAGAAAGAATTCTTAAAAACTAGTTATGATTTAGAAATTATCTCTGAAAACTTTTCAGCAGCAAGAATTAAAAATTTAAACAGATAAAAAATAAGCTGAAAGATATCAGAACTAAGCTGGAAACTACTTTCTGCTGCAGTCTTTTAGAGTATATTGTGAAAGAGTCTTGTGAAATGTTAGTTTAAAATTTCATATGTTTTCAATTTTTATTTTTAGTTTTCTGCAAATCTTAGCATTTTCAGACAAAATTCTTCGCTCGCTTTGTGTAAGTTTATTTGTAATATTACTTTTGATGGATATAAAGATAAGTCATTCATTATATTAAAAAATGTATATTGATTGAATAAGTTGAAAATGAAATGTCAAAACTTTCTATTTATTGTTTTAAATCATCATTGTTTGTAATCATCTTCATTTAACCTCCATTCTTTTTATTCTTCATTAATATGAAGAGGCCTGAAGTTATATATTAATGTTAGAAAGCATAAAATATTAAAGATGTTTTTTCGTTTAAAAGTGAGAGAATTATTTTCTGTTATAAAAACCGTTTTCCTGAACTTACAAACAATTACTCTGAGTTATGTTCTTCAAAAATAAAATGCTTCATTTAACAATAAAAGCAAACGGAAGCATTCAAATACTTTCTATTCTTAGGAATTATTTGATTAGATTGCTAATCATTTTTGGAATGTGCATATCTGTCAAACTGTAAGAGCTCTTTAATTATAAAATGACTAAATTGCTTAAGTTATCTAAATTGAGAACGCCACTGAACCATTTATTTTGAAATATTTCTTTGTGCTCTCGAGATATTATTTTATTTATTAAATTTACTCAAAAACAGCATCTTCAATGAAATTTATAATTACTAGTATCCACAAACGTAAGAAAATGTAATTGAATTAATTAATGATTTATTTTCCAAAAATTCCAGATGAAGAATTACGTATAACTTTTATTTGTTACATATGTAGCACTGTAAAATAAATCAATAAATGACGGAATTAAGAATGCTGAATAAAATCTTGATTTTTGTTGGTTGCTGTTGATTAAAAAAAGCACTAATCTGAACTGTGAAATTTTAATTCTACATATATTATTAATTAATAATTTTAATACTTTTAGTAGTAAAAACAAGTAGTGTTAAAAGATTTCAAAAATGCAATTAAAAATTAATTTATTCTTTTATTTGCTTCAAAATTTAGCCCTTTGGAAGCCAAAATGTTTTAGATTTGATCACATTTATACATTATCACCTTAAGTTTTATAATTATTTATTTTACTCTTTGTTCTCCACCACATGACTTCCTCGTACGGAGTATTAAATTACACGCATTTTTTCTTGCATTTCGTTTAAACTTATTGGATTTAATTAAATCTACTTCGACGACAGCGCATAAACCACAATAGAATAAATGTATTCTTTAAAATTCACTCTATTTGTTTAACATAGCGACACTCTGGCGCTAGGTTCACTTAACAGTATTATATTTCGTTCATATTATAACTCAGAATGCACAAAATTTATATCATTTAAAGAATTATCTAATCGTTGCCACACGTTCTATTCAAATACTATAATAAAGCTAGAACGGTGTATGAAAGAAATTAAGCAAACAAAACAAAAAAGAAATAGTTTTTCACAAACGATTCAGTATTTCTCATTCAGTTAATTCAGTTCACACTTCGCGACAAGGCAAAAATACATAAAAACTCAAAATATCTGTATTAAAAATTACTAATTATTAAAAATTAAATTATTAAAAATTAAGTAAATCTTAAACACTTATTTCCTTGAAAAAATTCCAGAAAGGATTATGCATGATTTAATTCGCAATAATAAATGAAGGTGTTATCTTTGTTGTTGAGAAGCTAAGTTTCTCTATATTTGACAACAAATCCACTATGCTATTTCAAATGTAAACAAGCAATGGCAGCCATCAAAAACATTATTAGGCTTAGTGGCACTTAAACAATTTTAAAATTGTTATAATTCTAAAAATATTGCATACAGATTTACTAAAGGCATAAAAACCTTAACCGGAAGCCAAGAACAACATAATTCAATCATTTTTAAAGCAAAAAATGTACAATTTACAAACATATAAGAGTAAAGAAACTGAGATCACTGAGCCGGGTAACAGAGTGGATATATATATAGATATATTTATATACGTTTGGCGCAGCCGATTGCAACCAAAATACGAGGTGCACATCTACATGTTATAGTAGTCCTATATACAAAATTTCAACGTTCTGAGGATACTCCTTTTTGAGTTATGCGTGATACGTACGTACGTACGTAAGTACATACGTTCGTACGGATGCCACGAAAAATTCTCTTCAGAATTCATTTTAAAGCAGTTTTATAATTTTTTTGGAGGAAAAGAGTCTTTTATTCTGTCCTTACGTACAGATATCACGCAAAAACATCGTTAAATTGCATTTAAAAGCGGTAAAAATGGATATTTTCGTTGAAATATGCTGCCAGAAACTTTTCGCGATTACAATACTTCCTTTTTACTTCGTACAAGGAAGTAAAAAGAAAGCACATTTTAAAGAACAAGATAACATACATGTATAAATTCAGAAAGTTATATGTTCTGTATGAAGATGTTTCAAACGTGTATGTTCGTTGATGAATTATGTGAAGCATGCACGTGCTGTAAATGTTCAAAACATAATGTTAGTTCTAATTATTACAAAACCAAAATCAGTTTAAAACAGCTTGCGGAAGTTTCTTTATCTGTAAAAGCTATATAGAAAGTTGATGCTCATGCAGATTTTCGTTGTGTGAGTACAAACTGCAGTTTAAGAGGAAAAACACAAAAGAGAATGATTGGCAAATTGTGTTTCGAAATACAGCTATTTACAAGTAACAAGGTAAGCCTATATCATTAATTAATAGTGAATTTTGAAGTTGCCACATATTGAAGAAAAGCGGTTAACAGAATAATAGTTACTTTACAAATACATTATAATGGAAGGATAAAACTATTCAAATAGTACGTAATTTGAGGTACAGAAATGCAGAAAATAGTGCCCCAAGCATACGCCTCTAGCAACCACAGAGGGTCTCATAAGACTGGGCAGGGAGTAAAATAGAATTTTTATGGTAGTAACGATTATTGAAGCCTCTGCAGTTTCAATTCTATGCAAGAATTCATTCGTTGATGTTGTTGTGACTTATCTATCGGAACAAATCCAAGAATTTTATCGTGGCAAGGAGAGCAATCGCCTATCGTTGGCATGAACACTAAGCGCCATATATGGTGACAGTACAATTTTGCCAACCTCTGGCCCAATTTCGATGGAAAGCATTCCGAAGGTCTCCTACTCCTTTGTCACAAACTCCAGAGAACTTTTGGCATGTCATGTATTTTGAGTGGCTTCATGCCTCGCAGATGATATACATTTACAAACATCCATGTCTTCTCCGGAATTCAAACCGGAATACAATAAAGGATACTGTAGCCCAGGAGCATTAATCACTATACCAATTTGCGTGGCTTCTCTGTTAATGGATAACTGTGCTGACGGGGCAATCAGCCTGTAAATAAAGACAACATGCTTTCAGATAGTGAGAGATGTGGAGAAAAAGAAGGCCAAACAGTTGACAGATGGCAGTTAAGAGCAGAGTCTGAACACCCGTGCAGCTTATTTAGACTATTCGGGTCTTGGCAAGGCTCCGTAACTATCCGGAGCAACATCTAATGGAACCCATAAGGGCATACATTGATCCTGTATCATAATACATGTTTACATAGTTCATACATACACATGCTTACATAGTTCATACATACCATGCTTACATAGTTCATAACATATGCTTGCATAGTTACATAGTTCATGACAGACATAGTTCATAGTACATGTTTATATACAAGTAGTTCATAATACATATATCCTGTTTCATAATACATGCTTACATAGTTCATACACATCATGCTTACATAGTTCATAATAATTTTCATTGGCCATAATATATACGTGTTTCATAATACATACAGTATTTACGCAATGCTGATCTCTACTAAATCTGCAGGGAAAAAAGAAAGAGAAGACATATTCACTGGGATCTATTCCGCGCTGCACAAGGCTGTTCCCAGTTCCTCCAGTTTATACATTATCTTGCATATTTTGCTGCGAAATATTGGCTGTTTGATCAGATAACGCTTATGAGAAACTGTCTGTTCTGGAAGCTGCACATGTCACTGTGCGATTAGAGGGCATTGGGTCAATTAATGGTTTGGTTTGCCCATGGCTCCACAGATACATCTTTAGGTATTTGCAATTCCTCTCTCATAGTAATAGGATGGGAAAGGCCCGTGCCCCGTCACAAATCTCGTTATTTGTAGAGATGACTCAAGACGATCGAGCGAAACTTTATGGAGCCTCCTGCTTTGTGTCCCATTTCCATTGCCACTGATGCTGAGCTGCTGTTTTTGTCACTTTTTAAGGTGACGGCAGATTGGTTATAACGCTTTGAGCGTTGCTTGTGATATTGTGAGCTGCTTCTTCTGCTAGCCTGTCGGCTTCCTCATTACCTTTAATGCCGCTATGCCCCTTTATCCAAGATATGAGGGAATTCGTTGTCGGTGAACGCTCCTTCAGCATGTCCTGAATCTCCTCTATATTAGGAGAAGGATGCCTGGGATTTTGTAAGGCATATATGACCGACAGGCTGTCTGTAAGAATGTTGATAGTGGATCTTACTGGAGGCTTGTCAACTCGATAGGTTTGCGAATCGCAATTGCTTCAGCCTGGAAATCTGAATTACTCTATTCTATATCACCTTTCCATGTTATCAGCGTTTCCTTGTTCTTATGTACTATGAGGCCACAGTCTAATTGTCTGTCAACTTGTGAATCATCCGTGTATATACACTGGTGTGCAAAAACTAAGGATGAGACGGTTTTTTCAATATAACTTTGTACAAAAGCTTTCCAAATCAACACATTTAATACCGTAAGATCCCCAATACGTAAGAACATGAGTAATGTAAGCAACCCTTACTAAAAAAGAAATCAGAGGGATAAAAAGAAGCTTTATTGAAAAAGTAGCATGTAGCGCAATGCGACTGAAGGCCGAAACATCCCTGTGATGGGTGTCCAGCAAGAAACATCCGGTCTTTAATAGGGGATATGATCTCCCCTGACTGCTAGGCAGGTTTCACAGCGTCTGCCCATGCTGAGAATGAGGGTGTTAATGAGTTGTTGAGGCATTGCTGCCCATTCGCCTTGCAGCGCCAATCGAAGCTCCGGAATCGTTACTGGTGGTAAGGTACGAGCTGCCAAGCGTCTGCCTAGAAAATCCCATACATGCTCGATGTGATTGAGATACGGAGATCGTGCCGGCCAATCCATACGTTCAATACCCTCACTCTCTAAGAACTGTTCGGCAGCTACTGTGCGATGACATGGTGCATTGTCATCCATGAAAAGGAACTGCGGACCCATAGCGCCTCTAAAAGACGCACATATGGAAGAAGAATCTCGTTACAATAACGGGTCCCGCTGACTGAACCTGCGTCGAAGATGTGAAGGTCTGTATGACTACCAAGCATGATGCCTTCCCAAACGAGAACACCGCCACTTCCATACCTGTCCCTTTCAATGATGTTCGAGGGATTATTGCGGCTTCCCCGCTCTCTCCAGATGAGTATGCGATGAGAATTGCTACTCAGACTGAATCTGCTCTCATCTGTAAAGAGTACTCGTTTCCATTCATTGTCTCTCGAATTCCGGTGTTCCCGGCACCACAGAGAACGCCTTCTCCAATGGGCAGGCGTTAGAGGTACACACCGTACAGGCCGTCGTGCAAACAGACCACCACCGTGCAGTCTTCTGGCCACGGTAAAACGCGATATCGGTCGTCCAGTCGCCTGTGTCGTGTGTCTAGGGATTTATCCCGCTGTCTGCTGCCTGTTTCTTCTGGCCTGTAAGGCAATATACCGGTCATCTGCGGGTGTGGTTCCCCGTGGACGACCACTACTAAACCCCCGGATAGCTGTTCCTGTAGTT